ACACAGAGGGAAAAACTTTGAAATGATGACGTCAATCGTGCATCTGTCCTCTAATAGATCATAGGCGAGAACCAATCAAAATGCGAGAATAACTTGGGTTATTATATAAAACTCAATAGTGCATGCTATGGCGTTTACCATTTGTCATTGTATTTCTCGCTTAACTTTCTCCCTATCTTTCTGCTCTCATTAAGTGTCAAGTGAATGATTCAAATATACACGTTTCTGAAAGTTGATAATTTAAGGAATTATGGGGTTTCTTGAAGGTCCTCCTGCTCCTAAACGAATAACGGGACCCCCTTTTTTATTTCAAAATTTAAGGTCATTTGATGTAAGCAGCCAACAGGTAAAGTTTGAAAGAAAACCTATTGTGAGTTCTATTTCGCTGGAATTACCTTAAGGTTTGTTTTTATATTTGTTCTACAATCATTTAAATTGTCTCGGATTGCGAACTTCAATTAAAATCATGCGTGAAACTTTCAAGATTTGTATTTTTCACAGCAAGTGACTTAATTTAGCGATTTCACGAAAAAGGCGTTAAATGAACCACTTTTCAAATTCTTAGAGCCTCCACCTTATTTCATGAAAAACAGTCTACCTACAGAATGAACTTTAAAGACAACGGTGATCTCAGAGAGCTTACCTGCGACCACAACCAGCTTCCCCGGATGAACCATATCGTTGTATTCGTCAAAGAGACAGTGGGCAGCGGTAAGCGCCCACTCGTCACTGATAAGTGACGCACCGCACATGTGCTCATTCATGGCTCTGATGGACAACAACCACGGCCATGAGACTGGTTGAACTGACGGCCGCCCGTTAATAACTCTTTTGCATTGCGACAACTGATTTTCATCACACTGAGCACCTATCATCAAACTTTAATTCATCAGAGTAGGTGGAATACTTTAATCCCTGCATTGGTAGCGCATTACTTAGTCAATTTCGAAACCAGAATGCTTATTCCTTTAAAATGATTCAGTAAGTGGTTTTATAGCAGGACAAGACGCTTTCTTTACAAGGTATCGGTATTGCCTGTTTCAGAAATGTAAGCTATGAAAGAAGAAATAGGGCCAACTTGCTCTCCCGAGAACAGTTTTGTTGCCATGGACACCCAGCGAAATAAAATCCCTCAGAAACAACGCTCGGGCAGATTTAAGAGGTAAAAGGTCAAAAACGCCCCAAAGACTTATTCCTACGTTGACATATTTTATTCAGGTCCCTTGAGTGGAACAAATTTTAATTACAATTTTTATTTTGAGAAAGCTAAGTACTTACAATGTCCAATACAGCAAGCAACGACCAACAGCGGAATCCCTCTGCTCAGATGCATGTCTATGTTCCGAAGAAATGGGACATATAGAACCAGTTACCCTAGTTCGAGATGAGAATGGATTTAATGACAGCAAACGAGGATGAAGGGCAACAGAATAATCCCACAAGATAATGGTAATTTATAGCTCTAAGTAGATAGCTGTTTTTTAAAAGCGCTGTCTGAGCCTTCTGTAGCATTTCTGCAAACGTCAGTGCACGTTCCGATTACAGTTGACTCACGATGATCAATTTGGATTAAAAGCTGAAGCAGGGAAAAATCTATAACGAGCTAACAAAGGTTTACGTTTAACAAAGCTATATGCATCACACGACAAATGAGATTAGTTGCTACTTATATTAGTGTTGGTTTTCCTTTAGCTGCATGACACATTAATGTAGAAATAATGGTCGGTATCACAGCCTCTAAAGATAGTAAATAAGTCCGAAAGAAATATTTAGAAACAGTGTTTCAGAGCTAATATTAATTCCAGTCGCCTAACTGTTGAATAGAAAAGCGCTGTTAAAATCATTACCTCAATCTCTGTGTTTAAAAACTTACAAAGTTTACTTCCAGTCCTTTACTCTTGTGCCTAATGAGCGAATCGAGCCACGATTTACTGAATTTCCCCGTCAAAGCACTTTGAGACTCAAATACATTTTCCGTTTTTTACCGATGGCCTTTAACAGAGCTAAATGTACTTGTCTCCTTCATTCCACAGTTTTTGTTTCTGTTTTTTTTTTTTTTAACCTGCTATGAGCGTGTGCTTTCATGTCTTTAGCGACTGTCATTGGTTTAACGTTTCATCCCATAAATGTGCTAAGATAGGCAACTTGAGGAAGAAGTTTGAATTTACTTCTCTCCCTCTCTCTCTCTCTCTTTGACGAACGTTTAATTTTCAAAAATTTGTTTTTGTTAGAGATCGATTAACCAGTCCAATAAACTCAGCTGGGTTGGTCATAAAACACTCAAATCACTCAAAACGGCTCAGAGGGTCAGCGGTTTGTGACTTACAAACGTTCCAGTTGCGCGTTCTCACAACATCCCACATGGGTTTAGTTCGTCAGTAGACCCATCGATTGACTGACATTACACTATATTTACTTCCCAATAAGAAAAACTGTAAAGAAAAAGTGTGTTTCGCCTCACAATACCTATAACTTGAACGTTGATTCAAAGTTTACCTCTTGCATGTGTACGTGACTCTTTTAAATAGGCAAAGTTGAAAACTGAAATCCCGATCTTTGAGGCAATGAAAGGAATGTTCGTGGTCTAAACATGACTTGTCAAATGGATAAGATTTGACTGAAAACTGAGACGCCTAATTTTGGAAATACTCCCATGCGCGTACAAGAACAAGCACTTGTCCAATCAGAGCTCGAATTGGAGTCACAAGGTGCGAGGCCTGTTTCCTTGAAATTTCATATTACGGTCCGTATCGATCTAAATCACGGTAACAAATGCTGTAGTTCTTGGGTTTGACTGAAATAGTCCCCTTGTCTATTTACGTTTATTACTGGCGAGGATTAACTGCCTGCGGAGAGAGAAACATGGACAAGGATGAGTTGAGACGCGCTCAGTGTTGAACACCTTACGTCGTCGTCAATTAAGGGGAAGCTGTAACTTCGATTTAAAATAGCTGGGTACAACATTATACGCACAATTCTGCATTCTGACGATGACTTAACATTGTTAAGGAAAATTTTCCGTTAGGCGTTACGACTAGTAATAATTGAATTCATACAACTATAGAGCGGACTTTACAATTATCCTATTTATGTACTTTACACGAGTCGATACTTACCATAGCAAAAACAGAAACGTTCTTTGAAGATAAATCAGGTCAACATCTCGAACAGGTTTACAGTCATAAAGAGAAATTACTCCTAGGATTCCATATTCTTGAACTGATTATTCCGGCATTTGTTTCAACTCAGCAGCGTGTGCAATGTCCCAAAAAGCGGCCTCAAGCCAACCTGTCTCAGTTCATTCCATGGCCAGTACATCTCGAATTTTGTTATTTACCAGCTGGTTCGAAAGAAGTGTTTACAATTAAATAACTGGAACTGAGAACAGAGGGTTCGCAATGAAAATGCCACGAGCCGGTGCTGGCACGATTTCGATAGTGGCATGACGGGGTGATAACAATCTAGTGAACTGGCCCGAGGTCGATCTGTCGAAATAATTCTGTGAAAAGGCCACGTTCGATATATCAAAATTCTTACACGACACCGAGGTTTCTGCCAAATTTCTATATTGCTCTTTATTTCTTTGTATCAAGTCACTCGTGGGAATTTATAGGAAGCTGAGAATATGTTTGATTTTGGGCAGCCGGAAACGCTTGGATATATCGAGGATGTACTATTTGAACAGTGATAGGGACGAGAGTAGAGGCTGAGATGGAGAATTGTCTGTCTGCGAAGGATAAATACACTTAAAAATATTCGATGCTGAAAACGTAGTGACAGAAAAAAAAGACGAGGACGAATTTCCCCCATAAGTAATCTAAACATTGAATATATCCAGACGAATTGTCTGTGTCAGATGGACAAATCGTAATCCTAACATGAAGTCGGCATCGGATAACTCTTCTCTACCATAGACTCGAGCAGATCAGATTTAAGAACAGTTACGCACAAAACAGTGATTTAAAAGTTATTCCTGTACTGTACAGGCAAATTTACAGTCTTTTTAAGGAACTTCCATTTCGCCATTCATTATTGTGGTTTTATCTTTTTCTCAGCTCGTGTGCGGGCGGAATTCAACAAATCCTGCAATCTTATTGGGTCCTGGAGCGGGCAGAATTTTCTCATCCGGACAGCCACAGCGGGCGGAATCCGTCGCGTTGAACGAATTAGCGGTAATCGTCAAACTTTCGCCCATGTTACACTTCCATAGACGATTAATCAACGCAAGTTTATCTCTATCACCTCTAAATCGCAATGAAAGTCACTGTAAGTAGATTCAATTGAGTTTTTTGAACTTGTGAGAGTTTGTTTGGCTGTTTGTAGCTCGGCGCTGTAATGGCGCCGCCGTAAAGCTGTGTGTCTCTCTCTGTACAATTTTAAGTAAAAAATGAGTCAATTTCAGTCGAGTTTACCTCTCTGATCGTTACTGTATTTGAGAGAATTTCTGTGGAGTACACTTTACGAATTTCCTCGCTGTCTGCTACTCAATTAACGGTAGAAAAGTCTGATTTCGAGTGATTAGTACAACTTCAAACTTTGCCCGAAATTTCACACCGGAAAAACGCTTTTGGAGAACTTAAATGTTGAACTTAACCGGTGAACTAAATGCAACTAACATAAAGAAGTTCGAAATAAATCTGTTTTTTAATACATTTTTCTTGGTTAAGTATCTGAGTTACTCGCTCGTTCTCTTGTTAGATTTTTTACGAATGGTTTGTAGACGGCGCGTAAGCCGATTCAACGACAAAGTTGCGTAAACAAACCCACTTGTAAGCCAGTTTATCGCAGGAAAGAAAGATAAACATGTTATTGGCCAGCTTAGGGTCGCGGACCGTATAGTGAAACTCTGTGACTTCGGGCTTGAAAATGCTGCCGCATTTTCAAGACCTCGATCACAGTTTTTCACTATGCGGTAACATATGTTTCTCTTATATTTGTTACATTACCAACGGAGTGGAACATACGTACGTACATTGTAGAGCAACTTTGTTCCCAGTGTCAGCTTCCGAGGTTGCCTAGTAGACGTGATTGACAGCGACGCAACTCGAGGGATGATAAAAAGATTGAAACATGCCTCAGTGAAGTCCTCGATGATTTACATTGTCGGCGCCATTCACTGACCTTAAACGAAGTATGGCTAAAGTTAGGAAACATTCTAACCAAAGGTGCCATCATTTAAACAACAGAATAACTGTAACTATCTTGAGCTTTCTCTATTTGCAAGAACTGAATTTTGACCCAATGTTATCGTGACTAACATATGTGAGATGCTATTATTGGCCAAATTGCTGTCGAGGAAACCAAATATCCTCTTTTGTTTCCTCAGCATAAAATGAATTAAAATAAGTTTTGACCGCAGGAGACCTCGATCGAGTGTGCAGCATAAAAAAGCTTCGACATTTTACAGTCATCTTTATAAGCTGTTTGACGTTACCATACAATCTTTATAATTACTCCATTTGAGGGATATTGAAACCTCCATTAGTATGAAAGCTTCGTAGTACAGCTGCACTGCATGCCTTTCATATGTTCATTACGTAACTCGGCAATCCTTATTAATCACGCACAAGTGAGACGTGCCACATTGCAAAAGCACCGAACTTATTCATGCTTAATTTCGCACCTTTACAGTTGCGTGATTTTCGCGATAGTAAAAAAAAATTGCGAAATTAAAACCTCGCGAAATTTACACAGGCTAAATTAAATACCATGGCAAGAAATTGGAATCAACAGCATTGATGTGCAGCTTTTAGTAGCATAAATAATTAATAAATTATTTACTGGTAATTAGCTCCGTTTTGTATCTTGTCTTGTCATCAATAAAGTTAATTTTCAAAGGCTGTACATGAATATATCGAGCAGAGAATCTAATTATCAACTTCATGTGAATCACTTGGACCTGGACTTTATAAGTAAAATAAAGCCTCCGTCTTGTCGTCAAGGATCACTTTTAGAAACAAAGAGCCAACAGACTGTAACATCAATACAGAAAAGTCATTTAACAACCTAAACGATTACAACACTCGAAATTAAAACGTTTTCTCTCAAAACGCGTTGCTTAGTGACCGTGATATTGATTGGCCGTGTATGCAGAACGGAGCGTGACTCATTATACATTATGCTTTGTAAACATGACGTCAGCGTAGTAGTTAAGCTTAAATAACATGCGTGTTTCTGATATTTATTTTGTGTTGCTTGCGGTATCGTTCAAGACATACACAGGGATCGAACAGACTCCGCTATCATTTCTGTAAGAAGACTCCTGTTTTAAGCAAGGGGGGAAACTTTCCGAAGTGCATCGAAGAGTTTCGTGATGAAATTGATCACAGCAGGGCTGATATGCGTCAAAATACTCTCTTTGCTTGAAGGTCAGTGCGTTATTGCGTGCCTCTCATAGAGGCATTTAATTTATAGTTATGTTTGGGTTCAAAACATGTGTTGGGTTATTTAGCCTAAACATATGGGTTTTCAATTAGCCAAATAGGTTCAGTATAGGTTTTGCAAGGAACGATCACCACGTGCGCCGGTGTAATCAAGATTCGCTAGCTATACCTTTGAACTCTGTATTTATTCGGTTGTACTGACTTGTCTTGACTGACTTTACTGTGGTTTATGAGGGTGAGTAACCATTTTGTGTTCACAAGCTGAGGCTTCGCCATCTTAACTCAGCAGCTCCATCTCGGTATAAACTACCCTTTCTTATTGATCAATTAGTTTGTAACCGCCTTGTTCTCACTGAACTTCTCTGCATGACGTTAAACGGCCGCTCAGTTTACGTGCTATCGTTTAATGCTGCGCACGAACAGCGACGAATATTGACCTTGCACGTGAAGTTAGAAAGTTTGTTTGCTTGCCGCTTTGTTCTCTCTCTAAATCAACTCTTGACAACTCCAAGGTTCGTTTTGTGCACTTGAACCTGGAGTATTGTGAATTATAATAACTCAGTACACTCAGAACCTTGCATGTTACATAGTAATTTTGGATGACATTCAGAACCAAAACTTCAAATGTTCGGTCGGATATCGAATTGAACGGGTCCTAAAAAGTACGGATTTACCTTCCTTAAATTCAAATTGATTCAGCATTCTAGATCTCTTCCAAATCTACACTTGAATTATTAGATTAAATATTAAACTGATCAGATTTTGTGAAAGAATTTTGACTTTCGAGACGCTTGTGTCGTTTCTTTGTTTTCTACACGAACAACCATAGTACTGTACATTAATCTGTGGTTTGAAAGAAGCTGCTGTGTGTAACGTTGTTTTGGTCTATTTTCATAACCCGTAAAGGTCACTAAGGTTTAACTGAGCGGCGTCGACAAAATTAGCTCAAATGTAACTTTACATCTCGGACCTTTAATACAGAGTTGGTTTCACGGATCAACCCATGTCCTAGTTCTAATCGCTAGCCCATGCGATACTATTGTTTTAAGGAAAATTCGTAAGCGAACTGATGAATCTTGCGGGAAATGTTCCCTCAAAATTTTCGCGGTCCCTCGCAACCACTCGCGGTCAATCACAACCATAGTACTGTACATTAATCTGTGGTTTGAAAGAAGTTGCTGTGTGTAACGTTGTTTTGTCTATTTTCAAAACCCGTAAAGGTCACTAAGGTTTAACTGAGCGGCGTCGACAAAATTAGCTCAAATGTAACTTTACATCTCGGACCTTTAATACAGAGTTGGTTTCACGGATCAACCCATGTCCTAGTTCTAATCGCTAGCCCATGCGATACTATTGTTTTAAGGAAAATTCGTAAGCGAACTGATGAATCTCGCGGGAAATGTTCCCTCAAAAGTTTCGCGGTCACTCGCAAAAACGCTATGAGAATAGTCATATTTCTCATGTATTAATTCCTGTTGTATTGTTGCAATATATGTTCTTATACGCCTTGCACCAACAATATCCCATTGTTCATGATCCAATGGGATGGGAGTAGATATTAAATTCGTGCCGGTGTGCGGAGAAAAACAAATAGAGAAATTCCAAGTTCAATACTTAATTGTACATTTTATTGCGTAAATCCTTTTGATATTAATTTTCCGTTAAATAAGAGCATCACTCATTCTACTTGCTCTGAGCTATATGTGTTTCAATAGCACGCTGGACAAAACTGTTCTGGATCGACGTTTTACATAAAAAAATTAAAACAAACAAAGTGACACAAATAATTTTGTGCTTTGGAAGATAAGTGTCACAGGGAGACGCCTGATGAAGAAAGCTTCCCCCGCATCGTTGAATTTTACGAAATCGTTGGCGAGATTCTGGAAGCGGCCGAGCAGAAATTGTACCTGNTGATGAATCTTGCGGGAAATGTTCCCTCAAAAGTTTCGCGGTCACTCGCAAAAACGCTATGAGAATAGTCGTATTTCTCATATATTAATTCCTGTTGTATTGTTGCAATATATGTTCTTATACGCCTTGCACCAATAATATCCCATTGTTCATGAACCAATGGGATGGGAGTAGATATTAAATTCGTGCTGGTGTGCGGAGAAAAACAAATAGAGAAATTCCAAGTTCAATACTTAATTGTACATTTCATTGTGTAAATCCTTTTGATATTAGTTTTCCGTTAAATAAGAGCATCAGTCATTCTACTTGCTCTGAGCTATATGTGTTTCAATAGCACGCTGGACAAAACTGTTCTGGATCGACGTTTTACACCCAAAAAATTAAAACAAACAAAGTGACACAAATAACTTTGTGATTGTCTTAAACTTTACTAAGTTCCACACATGGAAACTTACTTTTATATGGATCACGCAAGAAAAAGCTTGCATTATACCTTGTCCAAATTTGGTAACTGAGTCACAAAATCCCGTCATTTCCGTTAAAGAAGAGTCACATTTGGAGTGTTCTTTTGCGAAGAAACTCTTGACGTGCTGGTGGATTTTTTTGTCAAGATTTTGACAAGTAACCATGAGAAAGACTTACAACTTATTTGGTCGCTGAAATACGATACTATCGTCAGAAACTGATCTTTATCGAAATCTTCATACTGTTCTTGCCACGAATCGGTCTTCCGCATGGTTTGAAGATGGCTGCCTTTAGCTCGCGCTTCGTACAAGCCACAAATGCACACGATATTGCTGTGTTAAAGCGCAGTCGGCTGAGAACTTTCGACACTGGTATTTGTGCTTTTAGGAAAGTTTCCAGACCTTTTTCTGGGCTCATCTACCAGGAGCTTGCCATTTTCTCTCATAACAGCTTGGAATAACTTTGTTTGGTTTGCTTTGTGGCTTGTTGTGGCTCTTCAGTGGCAGC